ATTTTTTATTTTATTAGAACATGTTTGTAGTTCATGTAGTTTACAGTCATTTTGGGAGTGGTTATATGTACATACCATAGCATGTTTCTTTTTTGATCCCCTTCCACTTCCCTCCCCACTCCCTTCCTCCTCCTCCAATTGTCACATCTCATGTTTCATTCTAATTGATATTAATAATCTTAGTTCAAGTTATGGCATATAATGTTTATATCAATTGAGGTTATTAGATTCCTGTACATGACATATCTTTATTCTACTTATTTCTCCTTCCCCTCCTCCTTACTCCTCACACTTTTTCCCTTTGACCACTTACTGATTGTAAGAGATCCATCTCCTAGTCCCTTTCTATTCATCCTTATTCTCTTTGTTTATGTTTTGCCTTACTCAAATGAAAGATACCATACAGTATTTAAGCTTTTGTATCTGGTTTATTTCACTAAACATTGTACACTGGTATCTGGGTCCATCCACTTAATTTGTTCCATGATTTTGGAAAAGATGGCTACATATGTTTTTGTGTGGGAAAGATGTTATTTCTTCCTCTTGCAGTTTTCCCATAATAAGTATGTAGTGACCTGCTTCATCTCTTTTGATTGTTCTCGGTTTTATAGTTTACATTGCCTGCAAACATAATAGCTACACCTGCTTTTTTCAGCGTTCCTGTTGCATGGAGAATTGTTTTCCAAACTTTGACTGTCAGTATATGGATTTCCTTTTGTGTAAAATGTGTTTCCTGTATACAGCACATCATTGGATTTCATTTCTTAATCCACTCTGCCAGTCTGTTTCTTTTCACTGGTGAATTGAGGCCATTTACATTTATAGTTATAACTGATATGTGTTGGTTTATCATTATCATGTTGTTTACTTGCTGTTGGTTTCCTACTTTTTCTACCTGTTTAACTGCTTGCTCTGCTTGAAGGTCCCTTTCTATTGTTGTTCTTGAAATTGTGGTCATTTTTTTCTCTGTCTAGAATATCTTTTAGTACTCTTTGTAATGTTGGTTTGGCACTCATGAAGTAATCAGTTGTTCTTTGTCATAGAAATATTTTAGTTCTCTGTTAAATTTGAAGTATTGTTTGGCAGGATACATCAGTCTTGGTTGCAAGCTATTTTGTCTCATGACCTGTAATCCTTCACTCCTAGCTCCTCTCGATTGGATGGTTTGTGTTAAGAAGTTTGCCGTGATTCTGATGGACTTTCCTTTATAGGTGATCTGTTTGTTTTCTCTAGCAGCTTGTAATATTCTGTTATTTTGCTGGAGATCTGGGACCTTGATTATTATGTCTGGGTGTAGTTTTATTTTGCTTATGACTAATTGGAGTTCTATATGTCTTGCTTTTCTGTATATCAGATTCTCTTTCCATGTTTGGAAAATTTTCTTCTATTATTTCTGCAAATATTCTTTTTGTGTCATTTGTGTTGCCTCTTGCTGTTTACCTGGCTCCTATTAGTAGTCTTACATTATTCCTCTTTGCCTCATCTTGCAGCTGTTGAATTGCTTTTTCCTGGTTCCCTGCTGATTTTAAAAGATCCTTTCTTTCATGATCACTAGGTGCCATGCTGTCTTCAAGATCTGAAATTCTATCTTTGTCTTCATTCAAGCAGTTTTGCCAGCTTTCAATGGAAGCTTTGATTTCCTGGATGCCTTTTTGAATCTATTTTATGCATTCTAGTTCATTCCTATATTGTTCATTTAACATTTCCATCTGTTGCCTATGTTCATCTATTTTTTATATGTTTCTTCTTTAGATGTGCTGAGCAATTCTTTCATTATTATTGTCATTTCATTTTTTGCCTGAGAGATTATTTCTGATCTGATCTGTTCTATGACCCGATGGAGTTGTTTCTTTACTACCATTGCAATCATTTCAGCAATTTCAGGTGTTTGTTTACCAAATTCTCCTATGTCGATGTCTCCTGGATTTGTTCTGAGTGGGGTGGAGTTCTGAGATTGCATTTTAGTCCTTTGGCTTGTCATGTTTGATGCTGGAGGCAGAACACTCAGTCTCCCACTTCTCTGGCAGCTCAGCAAAGGTTGCTGGTGACCCTAGTTTTCCTGGTGGTCAGGCTTGCACCTCAGTGTCCAGTGAGATGCGCTGCTTAGTCTGGGGTCTTCTAGCAGACGGTGAAGTGTACCTAGTTCTCCCAGGTCTCAGACGTGAACTGTGATGTCAGCCGATGGCAGTCCATCTGATCCAGTGTCCCCTCGCAGCTCAGGGCATGTGTATGACCCAGAAATGGGCTACACTGGTGGCGCAATCACGGACCAGTGGTCCTGTGTCCCCAGGCAGTTCAGGACACAGGCAGAACCCAGACAGGAATTGCAGGGTCAACAGTTTATGGACCACCTGATTTCATGTCTCCAGGCAGCTCAGGGCACTCCCAGGAGCCTGGTGTGGGCTTCACTGGTGGTGATCATGGACTGCCTATGTCTGTGACCTCCAGAAGGTCAGGGAACAAGTAAAGCCCAGACACAAACCATGGTGCTAGCAGTTCATGGACTGTCTGCTGTAGTACCTAAGGTGGCACAGGGCACATGCAGGGAGGGCCCAAATGTGAACCCTGGTGTTAGCAGTTTGTGGGCCTTCTCCAATATACTTCAGTTTGTTAGTTGCCCAGATAATACTTCCTGTTCTAGTTCTGGTTGTTTCTGTCTCTTAGAAACAGTTGGTCACTGTGATGCATAGCTGGTCACTACAACACACATTGCATAAACCAATCCCCAATGGACAAGCCATTCTGTCTCTGTACTTTCTGCTTGTTTATTAAAATAAAATACAGGAATAAGTTGTGGTACAACACAGCAAAGTGTGATAACTATAGTTCATGACATCCAATTATAAATTATATGAAGATCTGGAAAAATGCTCAAAGGCTTCAAGCAGAAAGATATGTTTATTTCATATAAGCCCTAGACCATGAGATATCAGGGCCTGATATTCTGGGAATGATCCTGAACAGTGCACATCACTTTAAATAAATCTGCCTCCAAATCCTGGGTGTCATTTCAGTATTTCTGCTTGCCACTGTATCTGGTGCATCTGCCAGGAAGATCAACCTGGTGCATCAACCAGGAAGATCATGCTGACCTCCTTGGCCAACAGGCATAGCCCTCATGGATAGAGCAAGGGCCTCTCTAGGTCCTGATGGGAAGGTGCACCCTCAAGATGTCTCAAATCCCCTTAGAGATCCGGAGGAGGATTCCTGGCTCCCCTCTGGAGTTGTTCATATCACACCCCAAAAAGAGGAGGACACAATCTGTCTGTCTGCCTGCCTGATTCCAGTAAGATCCCCTGGTGCACCTCAGTTTGTCAGTCCACCAAATTTTGGGCAGAAGGGCTGAATCAACTCTTGCTAGTTAAGGCCACCATCAAAGGAAGAGAGGTTAGAACGTTTAAGACAGTCCCCATATCACTTGTGGGAAGAGACTTCCTCTTCAGTTTACAAGTGACTGTCTCCTTTGCACCCAACCAGTCAGCCTCCCCCTCATTTAACCCTGCACTTTCCCTGAGAGGAAAATGACATATTCATCAGCCTGAGACAGATAACCACAATCCTAAAGTTCTAAAAGCTCTCCTCCCAGAGGTATGAACTAAGGACTCACCTCCAGGCCTAGCCATCAATCATGCCACCTCACCATGATCCCCCCCCCTTGCTGTAAGATGTCATGGGAAGAACACACAGGCATTCAGCCACACAACATCTATCCAGCCTGATAGACTATTAATCACTTTGGGCAAGATCTCTGTGCCATCAACAACATCTGAATCATACACCCTTTTTGAACTGTGCAGAAGAAAAGCTTTCCATAATAAATATCTAAGACTTTTTTCCCCTATCATTATTGCCTGAAAACACAATGTAACCACAGTTTATACAGTATTTCCATGCAGTAATTATTTAGAGGATATAGGAGAATGCATGCCGGTTATATGAAAATTCTACTTTTTTATAACAAACTGAAACATCTGCACACTTGTGGGGGATTTGTACAACTGATATATTTCTAACAAGATTTGTCAGGAAAAAGAACAAACTAACAATAACAGAAATTAAAGAAGGGACATCAAGGCTTATCTCAAAGACATTAAACATATACCAATAAATATGGTAGTGTATATTTTCACAATACTTATTTCTTTAAAAATATATATATTTTATTTAGTCATAAATATTTCACTTACCTGAGTATTTATAGAAATTTAATTAGCATTAATGTAGGGAATAATGAACAAAAAATTAAGGATACATTCGTATAGCACCTGTTCTTGTCCCAATAGCCAAGATTTTCTGAACTGGATCAAAGGCTAAAGCTGTGGGCTGGTAAGGAAAACCATGCCGAACTGTCTGAAAGAGAACAAACAGTGCAAATAGTCATCAGGAAAGTAAAAACTAAAATCATAACACAGCCATTAGATGACTAAAATTAGGTCTTTAAAAATATATTACAACTAAATGCTAACAAGAATATGGAGTAACTTAAGCTCTCATATATTGTTACTAAAAATCTAAAACAGGTCATTGTATAACCACTTTGGAAAGTGTTAAGTAGCTTCTTATAAAACTAAAGATATGACTATTCCATGGCCTTGTAATTATGTGTTTACCTATGAATATTAAAAGCATAAGTATACAAAAATGATTTGCTTAACTATACTTTATTCAGCTTTTTTATAACAGTAAAATACTTAACATAGTCCAAGTGCACCTCAATGAGAGAATTTTCGGCTAATCTCACCACTATATCTGTCCTATACAGGGTGGAGATGATGTCCTTCTACCCCAAGAGAACAGTACACATAGCCTAATGTCTTCTGTAAACTAGTGGGATAGACTTGCTGGCCAAAGAGGAATGACATATTGTGTTTTCCTGGGAAAATACCAAGATCCAAAAGCAAAAGCATCTGAATTTCTATTCCCGATGGTTGGCATAGTGATATCTTTGCTATTCTTTATATAGTAGGAGTCCTTCCCTAGGACCAGTAAACAGTGTACAGTGTTATGCTTCTGTGGGATTAATTAAAGGTCCACGATATTCTACCTAACAGTTGATAAAAATACGTATAAAAATGTTTATTGGTGTTTCTAGTTGTCATTTTTGTTGTTGAGACAGGGTCTTGTTACCTAGTTCAGCCTGGCCTTGAAATCGTTGGTTGGAGCAATGCTTTGCTAACACAAGGAAGAAAGAACAAGATGAGCTTTAAACCACTTATGCCAAGGAGTGCAAGTTTTTGAAATTTTGCATAAAATTCATAATGTTACCTAGAAAAATTCAAAGAGAAAAAATTTCAAGAGAAAAAATTTTATGTTGCATTGTTATGGGTGTTACAGAAATGAAACATTAGGCATTGAATGGTTAATAAGGTATGTAGCTCAGGCTGGCCTCCTCCCTCATCCTCCTTAGTACTGGGGTTGTAGGTATGCAACACCACACCTGGCATGTGATTCTTAACTGAGATGGTTACAGCTTGAGGTGGTTACTATACTTTCTCCCTCATTTAGATTTATAAACACAAATTTTTCATGAAGAAGAGATTCTTACTCTTTAGGCAGAGCAATGTGGATTGTAAATATCAGAATATAGTTCCTCTCCAAAAACAGAATAAGTAAAAACATCTCCCAGTTCATTCTATGAATCCAGTATTATCTTGATAACAAATTCAGGTAAGTACACCATGAAAAAAGAAAACTAAATATCAATGACTCCTATTAATATGAATGTGAAAATTCTTAGCAAAATATCAAATAGATTTTAGCAGTATATATATAAAGGATATACATCGTGATCTGCAGAATTAATTTTAAGCATGCAATGTTAGTTTAACCTTGAAAAAATATTTAAAACATCATATCAATAGAATAAAAATTACTATCATTTCAGTAGATGCAAAACGAAAGCATTTTGGAGGCTATAACATGTTAGAAAATACTCAAAAGTATAACTGTAAGTAACTTCAATATAAAAATTAGCATGAACAAAATACCTATAACCTCATACCATTTACTGAAAGAATGAGTTCTTTCCTTTTAATGTCAGGAAAAAGATAAATATGTCCATTCTCATTTCTCTCTTTAACATTGTATTGAAGGGTTTAGTCAGAACAATTAAACAAGAAAAAGAAATGGCACATCCAGATTAGAAATGAAAAAACTACTTGCATTTGATACAATCTTGTATACATATAGTCCTAAACACACCGAAAAACAGAACTAATAAAAGTTCAGCAAAGCTGAAGATTATTACAAAATTAATGTAAAAAGTTGATTGTGGTATCTGTCAAGGTTATCAAAGCTCCTAATTACAAATTATAGTATATATTTCCACTGCTTCTCATTTATAATGAATAGTTTTGGCCTCGTCAAGTTGATATTTCACATCATATTTGACTAACAGATTTTAATTCAATTCACTGCAAGCATGTTTGTTAGAGCTATGTCTGTTAGCTACCTGGCAATCAGTTAGAAACCATATGGAACATAATTTTAAAATTATTCACATAATCATTTGCTAACCAAAGATATTATTGATTGACAAAGGCATGGGGTACTTTACATATTTTCATGATGAACATTCTATCAATCAGACTTGCAAGCTTAAATTGATGTCACTTTTTTTTTTTTTTTTTTTTTTTGGTTTTCTGAGACAGGGTTTTGCTGTATAGTTCAGGCTGCCCCTGCTCTTACTATGTAGCCCAACCTGACCTCAAATTTGTAGCAATCCTCCTGCCTCAGCCTCCCAGTGCTGGGATTACAGGCATGTGCCACCAAGCCCAGTGAGCTGATGTCACTGATTAACAGATTAACAGATAAAGACAACAGATTAACAGATAAGGGAAATGTGGTATTTAAGCACAATGGAGTACTATTTTGCCATACAGAAAGATAAACTTGCATCTGTAGGTAAATAATGCAACTTGAGAACATGTTAAGTGAAATAAGTCTGAAACACAAGTTCAACTATTGCGTGGTTTCTCTTATATGAGAAATATAAATAAAGAACAAAATAGAGGAGAAACAAATAGAAAATAGGAAGAAGAAAGAATACTTCCCCAAATTACAAATTCCACTGTTTTAAAAATGTTGCATTACATATGCTTATTGGTTTCATTTATAGTACTAGTTTCTTTAGTTCATTGAAAAGATTTATGTTATTATCTGTTTATTTTTTGTAAGAAGGGTTTTGGTTTATGTCTTGTACTCTGAGTAATTTGAAGATAATGACACATAGGGTGCTAAATATTGTTATTCTCTTATTATTTGATTATAAAATTTTGTTTTATTTTTCATAAAATAAAAAGAATTCCTGAACTGTCATAGAGCAAAATTAGGATTTACTGCTTTTCCATTAGGCTATATCAAATTATTTTATGAGAATTTCAAGTAAAAGTAAGATTTTTTTAAAAATTTAACATAAATTGTATTTACATATACTAGCAATGAAGTATCCAAACATGAAATGAAGAAAACCATTACTTCCCAATAAACTGCATACAAAGGAGTAAAATACTCAAATAAAGTGAACAAAAGAAGTACAAAATCTATATCCTGAAAACTACAAAAAAATTGAAAAACATATCAAAATAAAAGACATCCCATTGGTATGAATTAAAAGGCCCAATATCAGTAAGGTTACAGTACTTCCCAAATTGATTTCAGAATCAATACAATTTCTACAAAAATTCCATCTGACCTCTGCAGAAATTGACAAACTCACCCTAAAACTCATACAGATAACCAAGAGACTCAGAATAGCAAAAGAATCTTCAAAAAAAGGAACAAATTTGAGGACTCATATTTTATGTTTTCAAAATTTATGCAAATCTATAGTAATCAAGAAAAAAGAAGTACTGGCACAAGGATAGACATACAGATAAAGGGAATAGATTTGAGATTCCAGAAATAAATTGTCATATTTTTCTTTAAATTGATATAGGACAACAGTACCAAGACAATTCAATGAGAAAATAATACTCTTTCAATAAATGGTGCTAGGGGCTGGGGATTTAGCTCAGCGGCAAAAGCGCCTGCCTGGCAAGCGCAAGGTCGTGAGTTCGGTTCCCGGTACCGGAGAAAAACCAAAAAAAATAAATAAATAAATAAATAAATGGTGCTGTAAAAATTTTCTATCCATGTGTAGAAGAAAAAATTGGACTTCTTATTTATATGGTACACATTAATTAATTGTAATTGAATCAGACCACAAACCTAACATAAAAGCCAAAATTAGAAAGCTCTTAGCAGAAAATGAGTGCTGAAATCTCAGTGATTCTAGACTAAGCAAAAGTTTCTTTATAAAATTATTTATTTTTTCATTTAGAAATAAAAATTTTATACATGTATGGTAGGTAACAAAATGTATTAATACATGTCTACATTGTGGAATGGTAGTCTTAAATATGATACAAAATTCCCAAGTAACAAGAGAAAAAGATTGGTCTCTGTCAAAATTAAAACTTTTGTGCTGTAAAGGACACCATCAAAAAATTTAAAGAGACTAACTCACAATATATGAGAAAATATTTGTAAATCATGTATCTGAAAAGGATTATATCCACTATATATAAAGAATACTTATCACTTAGTAACAGACAACACAATTTTTAAATGGGCAAAGGGTCTTAACAGACACTTATACAAATAATATAAAAACTGACTAATAGACAATAAGACTTTTATCAGTAGCCATTAGAAAACTATAAATAATTTTCACAAAAAGATATAACCATGTACCCACCAAGATGGCTCTAATAAAAAAATATATAGTCACACACACTGATGATGATCTGGAGAACCTAAGTACTAATACATTGATGGTGGGAATACAAAATCCTGCAATATCACTGGGAAATATACTGGCAGTTCCTCAAAATGTAAAATAGCAGAGGTACCCATATGACCCAGTTATTCGGCTCTTCAATGTAAACCCAAGAAAAATGAAAATGCAAGTCTGTATTAAACATTAGTATGAATGCTCATAACAACCACAAAGAAACTGCTTCATTGTTCATTTACTTATGAATAAACAAAATGTAGCATATCCATATAATGACATATTGTACACTAATAAAAAAGAATGGCGTATTAATATATATTACAACATGGATAACACTTAAAAACTTTATGCTAATTGAAGAGCCTAGTCATACATAATTTCATTTATGTAAAATGTACAAAAGAGGAAAACATATAGAAACTGAATTTATATTGCTAGTTGTATAGTGATAGGGGTGAAGAGTAATTGGAATTGACTGCTAAGTGATACATGGCTCCTTTTTGGGGTGATAAAATGTCTTAAAATCGATAGTGGTGGTTGTTGCACAACTCTGAATATACTAAACATCACTGAA